TGTTTCAAGCCCCATCAGGGAGAAGCTCAATAATTTTCCCTGAAGAGTCCTGTAGGTTTTAAGAGAACAAAGCAATCCTCCCTTCCTCAAAAAGTGTGTGCTGAAAAATATTTCTGTGGTTGACAATAACCTGTATACCAAGCATAAGTATATTTGAAGTCCACAAGATACTAAGTTTTGTTAATGGTCCTATGAGCTACTAATCCCCTATCTCCTACAGCAACTCAACAAATAGAAGAGTCTGCATCAAGAATAGCTCCCTTCATCAGCCCCAACACTGCTCTCTGAGTTCACAAAGATCTGTCAAATGTACCCGTGACAAATAAGGGTCAAGAAAGATCATCTAAGCCAGCTTGCATAGAGTGAAGAAAGAAGGCGCAATCCTGATGCTGGAAATAACCAAGGAGCCACAGAAACAAGCACAAATCACACACTTCTCCCACAACCACTCTTTTATTCCAGCTCCTACAGAGATATGGACCAAGGAAGATGGCTATTAAGCCACCTAGACTAGAATTTGTCCCACAGTAAAATGTTTAAGAAACATTCATTAATTTCTCTTTCTCTCTCCTTTCTTCCTCACTTGGTTTGGTGTTTTTAGGTCCAGGATTCTTACTCCCATTTTTACCTCATATAAAGAACAAATCAACATTTTGTACTGTGAGAAGAAAAATATTGAAAAGGAGTCTTACATCTAAATCATCCTGTGTTGATCACATGAGGCAGAATGTGGGACCAAGAATGAAGCTCTGGAATCAGTCTGTCTGAGTTCCATGTTAGTCACACCATTTACAAGCTGGGTGACGTAGGACAAATCGCTTAAGCTGTCAGTGCTTCATACTCCTCTGAAATAATATCTTATAGGGTTATTGACAGAATTTAATGAGAACATGTATGTGAAACTCTTAAAACTGGGGCTGGTATATAGTGAACACTTTTTTTATTATTAGTGTTAATGTTGTTCAAGCTCTCAGCATGACCAAAGGGTCCTGCCATGACCAGCCCCTCTTACCTCCACTGCTTCCTGCATGGGCTGCGTGCACACACTGCTTGTCTCTTTGTCCCACTAAGGCCAGGTTAGCTTTTAGTCCCAAATATTTTACCTCTGTTCTCCTTATCTTTGCTCATACTGCACTTCCTAGTTGTAATTCAACATTGTCTTTACACAATCTATTTTCTGTTAAGCTTCAGCCATGTAAATTGAATACTGCTATATTTGTGCCCCTGGCGAGACATTTTGTGCAAATTTCCTCATTCCCCTTTCTTCTCTTCCTCCTCTGGACTATGAACCCTTCAAAGACAGAAGAGTGTTTTAGCCACCCTTTTAGCCATAGCATCGAGCAGCTGTTATATAGAACTCATTTAGGAAAATGTATGTTGAATTAAAGAAGGCTTAAGGGCCAAGTGTAGTAATTCTGAAGTCATAAAATTCTGTTTAAAGTACAGCCACAGGAATTGGCTCAGTGACCTCTTCTGGCAGCAAATCTCATTTATCACTATAAACTGCATAAAGTAATTGTCTTTATTTGTTCAAAATTCAATGTCCTTTAATCACATCTGGTGAATCGAATTAAGGAACTTATCCTTATTAATGGAATCCAATTTTTTAGTATATCTGAGATATTTCGAACATCATTTAGAGTCCTGCAAAATTTTCCTGTTGATAAGTAATGCTCCAATTTTTTTATTCCCCTATTCTTTTATTTCTAAATATCATGTAATGTTTTTGTAATCAGTTATATTATCTTTAATCAACAATAATTAAAAACAATTATAAGATATAAATATATCTCCATATTTTTTCCTTTAGTGAATTTTACTTAAATTAACTGAAGAAGTCTATATAAATAAATATGTAATTTATATTTTTCAAATGGACTCTTTGCTAAAGAAAAAAGATAACCTATCCTACATGATGGATCAAAAAATGCATTTGTTTGTGAAATGGGTGAGAATGATTTTATACTTTATTCAAATACATCACAAGTCCAAACATCTCTCTCCATTGTCATCATCTCCCATCACTGCTACTGCAGTAGTCTTTAGACTGGCTACCACGTCCAAGCTTGCCTCTCGCTATTATCCACAGAACATTTGAAGTGATCCTTTAAAATTTTGATCAGTTACTTAGTCAAACCCCTCCTATCCCCACTGCATAATGAATAAAGCCTGACCTCCTTACATTGACCGACAAAGCCCAACATGACCTGGATACCTGCCTACCTGCCTACCTCACTCTACCCCAGCGCCACTATGCCCTGGGTCACTATGTGATCTGAATTTTTCCCCTCCCTGAATATACCATATTTGTTCCTATCCTGGGCTTTTGTACCTCATGTCCTCTTTCCTTGCAATGCTTGATCCTGAAGATAAGAGTACTTACCTTCAGACCAAACATGGATCCCTTCACGCAGCCTACCTCCCCTGTCTGCCTGTGCTCAGGGAGACTGTCCGGTCCTGTTGTGGGCCGCTCTGCTGCTGACACCTCTCACAGTTCTTTCTCTGCTCTGTCTCTACCTCATGGTCCAGCTAATTCAGTCTGCTTCCGCTCTGGGCACTCAGGTCCATCAGAGTCCCCACTGTTACATACGTTGTCGCCTCCCTCTTCTGACACCTAGTTAAAGCTGAAAAACCTCACACACCTCTGTAGCCAAGCCATTTTGCTTCCGGTACGCTCTGTTTTTCTCAGCCCATTATCCATGCCACACAACAACCAGAGGAGATTTGAGATTGCAAACTGGGTTTATTTTAACCATGGGAACCTTGTGACACTACTGAGTGTCTGTGTGTTAGCGTGAGATTACGCAGCATAGTGGTCCCTTCCCAAAAACACTGAGAATTCCCTTAACTTAGCTAAGAATTTCTAAAGCTACTCCCACCAGATGTTTGACCTCAAGAAGCTGAGAGGAGAAAACAAGAGCTGTGTCAGCCACTTTCCTCTCCCAATATGGTCTTTCTCTCCACTTTTTCTGTTATATCTCATGGGTACACATGAAGAACGCTCTCTTCCTATTGCTTTCTGCATGGTTTCAAACTCTATATAAAATTCCATGAAAACTTAGTCATTTGTGCTTGCTGAATAACATCTAGATGAAAAGTAGATCAGTCAGTGAATCAGCTTAGTGTTTTATGCTTATGTAACTAAACCTCCCAATCTTGACAAAACATCCAAATCATGGACTAATCCACCAAGTCTAGACTTTATAGGGAAGATAGGACTAAAGGAATTTAGAAATCCCTGTTTCTCAAGCCTGACTCACTTTAAACCATTCATCAACATAGATGACAGAAACTGAGTGTCTTGTGCTCCTCTCTGCCCCAGGTCAGGTGGATGTTTTGACTGCTCTAGCAGGAAAGACAAGGATACAGGAAATCAAATGCCATTCTTGCTCTTTTTACTGTACAACATCTGATTTGACGCTTTTTAAATGCTTTTTGCTGGAAATTCAGAAAACCAAACACACAAATCTGAGTTGCCAAGTAGAAAACGGGACTCGGGCCACTCACTGGTCCTAATCATTTGCTCTTATTTTAGATAGGATTCTAAGTGTTTGATTTGCTGACTCCAGAAAAAAAAATTTCAAAAGCATCAAATTAGATGTTGTAGGGTAAAAACAGAGCAAGAATAGTATTTGATTCTGAGAGAATATTATTGTCAAAAGTTAACAGATGCTCAAATACAGTCTGTAACCAGTTGAGATAGGTGTAGAATGCCCCTTTTCTATTTTTAATAACATTAAATATATTAATCTTTAATTTCAAGATATACAGCCAACACTTTATATATATATATTACATGTAATAAGTGTGTTTGTAATGTTATTCACTTAAAAATATCAAGCACAAGATACATACAGTTTCAGAAGAGAAACGTGATCTACCTTATAAAACAATTTTTTTTTTCAAATTGGGGGCTCAAATAATATTGAAAGTAGATATCCAGGCAGGATTTTCTTATGAACAGTGTCCAGGAGGACATGTGCAAGTGAAGACTTTTCTGAGTAGACATGTGAATTAGGGCTGAATTGACCCCAGCTCCTCACCTACAATAACTTCTGGCTTTTTATATGGACTAGATGTTTGAATGATCAAAACCCTGTGAAATGAGGATAATAAAACCCACCTTATAGTATTGCTGGATGATTAAATTACAATTATACACACCAGAAAATATTGAACAGCTGATACAGAATGTAGACATCTTACTCATTTACTGCATTTTATACCTTTGAGAAAAGATTAAGTAACATTCAGTTTTACAGATAAGACAGATACCCCAACTATTCTCCATGTTTTGATTATCTTTAAATATGTTTTAAATACAGTTGCAGTATAACTGAAGTATAACTAAATTAAGGGGAAGATTAAATTATTTTCCTCTCAAAGGCCCCACCTCCCAATACCATCATCTTGGACATTAGAATGCAGCATGTGAATTTGTGCGAGGAGGGATGGGGATCACAAACATTGAAACCATAGCAGCTGACATAAATCAATATGCAAATTAAAGATGTTTAGACAAATCATCTAATTATTTGGTCTTTATTTTATTAGGCATTCAGGTAATTATAAACATCAAGATGACTCATAAACTTTTTGTTTTTATTCTATTTTTGGTTTTTGAGTTATGGACTTAATTTATTCTGTTAGTAACAAACAAAAAATAGAGAACATGAAATATATTCAGTTAACAAGATATACCTATTTCCTTAGAGTTTCAATTGCAAGATTCAATTTTAAAAATAATATTTATTTTATTGATTCAATAGCATTTTGCTAAAATTAAAAGAAATCATAAATTAATGTAAACAAAGACACAAAAATACATCTAGAAAGATCTATGATTGTAAAATGAGTAATTTCTTTTAGCTTTCCTTTGGTTAGTTACATATATAGTACACTCAGCATATTTAACATAATTTTTCTCTCTTTCCCAACAGGTTAAGAATTCACTAATTCAAGAATATAAAATACAGTGGGATAACTTAACAACTATCTATGTGCTTTCCATGATATGTTCTCTATATTGTAAGTATACATATTTATATTCCCAAGCTAGCTTGATTGTGAAAGAAATATGTTTAATTAGAACTTGTAGATAATTTAGGTTGTTTTAGAAAAGTATATGCTACCATTCTTCCAAAATACAAAATAGTTTTAGGTTATCTTATATGAAAAGGAGTTCTGCAAATTTAGGTTTAACATTGTATCAAACTTAAAGCTTAATATAGTTGTCTATCATGGTAGAATAATATACCCATTATGTTTAATTACATTTTTATAGGTATTATACTTAATGTCCTTAAGATTTTTGTGCCACTCTTATTTTCCTAGAAATTTAAAAAAAAATTGGATATGCAGAATTGTATGCTGAAGTATCAAAATTTACTGAAATGTCTTAAAATATAATGTTTATTATTTCAATGTCAGCTCAATTTTTCCTATGTTAATTATCTTTTTGAAAAATTGTTTTAGTTCTGGCAAGATAATACCTACAGCACTAAATTACCCATATATAGATGTACAAGGGGGAACCCCAAAAGCCCAGATTTATCTTCTGGATGTGGGTCCTTTGTGGTGCAGGCTTCCCCCACTAGGTGAGTGTCCTAGGAACCCATCTGTATCAGTGCATCAGCTGCCATTGTTGTGAGAGGCTGCATTCGGCTTCAGTGAATTTTTTTTAAAGACTCTTTCAACTTGTTTGCCCATTTCCTGATGGGTGATTTATGAAAGCACCTGCCCACACACTGCTGAGTGTTCAGCAGTTTTTGACCAAGGTAGTATGACCCCATGGCCCACCCTCCCTATTCACCTGATCTTGTCCCAAGCAACTTTTTTTTTGTTTCCCTGGATGAGAAATGTTCTCAAAAGGAAATGTTTTGCCAGTGTGGAAGAGGTGAAACAAAAAATGGCAGAAGCACTAAAAGGCATCAAAATCACTGAGCTAAAAAACTGTTTTGAGCAGTGGAAGAAAACATCTTAATAATTGTATTACATCAATCAGGGAGTATTTTGAAGGGGACTGAAGTTTAAACATACAAGAATAAATACACAATTTTTTATAAATAAATTCCAGAGGTTTTGGGTCCTCCGAAATATATATATAAATGTGTGTGTATATACACAAAATTTACTTAATAAACTGAAGAAAAAGAAGAAAAGTTTTCTTGGTTCAGTAGTGAAGACTTTTACTATTAATTTCACGTTGCTTAAAAGTAAGGAGAGAAGTGAAAATCTGGGCTATTATGCTTTGTTTTTGAGTTAATAAGTACTAACCACTAAGCACTAACTCACAACAGTGGGAAGGAGGCAGCCCCATCCATTTTTGCTCAGAAGAAAGTAAAGTGACTGGAGCCCTTATTAGTCAACAGTGTTCCCAAAATTTATAACACATTTAGCGCCTCAGGAGATGCTGTTCCTGAACAACACTTGATTCTACCAAACCTACCCTACCCATCTCAAACATTACCCTCCATTCTCTCAGCCCTTTTCTTGTGAGAACCCCTTTCTGAGGATAAAAAATATATCACTAGGGACTTGAAATTTAGTGAGTCTTGATCTTTCTCCTCAAAGACAGGAGAATAAGCTGTGCCTGACTATGGTGTGGGGGTTGGGAGTTGTGGTGGATAGACAGTCATTAGCATGCCTTTTTAGAATGCTGAATGAATGCCTTTTGACACAAAACATAATTTAATACACAATATATGGTCCTAAAGCAGTGTTATCTAATAGAATTATAATGTGAGCCATATGTGTAATTTAAATTTTTCTTGTGGTCACATTTGAAAAAGAAAAAAAAAAACATAACAGGTATAATGGGTTTTAATAGTAAATTTTATTTAACTTAATAGTATCAAAATACAGTCATTTTAACATGTGATCAATGTAAAAACTATTAATAAGACACTTAACATACTTTTTTTTGCATACTAAATTCTTTGAAATCCAGGGTGTACTTATATCACATCTTAATTTGGGTCATTTGGATACTAAATTTTTATTGGATATACTTGCTCTGTATTTAGATTTCATAAATTTATAGCTGAAAAGAGGAGATTCACAAAGCCAATTTGTTCCACCCTAATAACTAAATTGAGTATCAGTATTTTGATTTAAATTAATTAAAATTAAATGCCATTTAATTTATACCAGCCACATTTCAAGTACTCTACAGTCCCATGTGTCTAGGAGCTATTGTATTGTACAACTCTTTTCCAAAGGACTCTGGATCTAATGTTGTAATTCTACTTAACGACTTTTGTAGGCTGATACCAGAGCACACCAGTGAAGTATATAACTTTAAATTTTTAACGAAGAAAAATTGTCAAATCCTACACATCTGATTAAAAAGACATTTTATAGAACAACATGTTTTTGAGAAATTATGGATAAAATGTACAAGAAATAATGGATAAAAATCTCCAAGCAGTGAGACACATTGAAATGTTTTTTTCAGTGTACATGTTCTTTTGTACTATAAAGGAATTAATGTCCTTCCCCATTACAGAAGAAAGAAAAATGAAAGAAAAAAAGACAGTTCTTTTTCTTTTATTTTTCTTTTTATTGTTCAAACACATTTGTCTCCATTTTTCCCGCCACCACTTTCCCCTGCCCCACCCACCCCCACCTCCCACCCTCAACCCTTCCCATTTTGGCTTTGTCCATGGGTCCTTTATACACAGTCCTTGACTTGACCTTTCCCCTACTTTTCCCGTTACCCCCCTTCCTCCTTCCCTCTCATAACTGTCAGTTTGTTTTTTCTTTCCATGTTGCTGGTTATATTTTTCCTGCTTGTTTGTTTTGTTGATTAGGTTCCACTTATAGGTTTGTTCATTTGATATTTTTTAAATGGCTATGTGAAAGATGTTAAAATAATGAAAATATAAGCTTCAGACTTGTAAATCACATAGCTGATAAAGGATTTATATCCAGAATATATAAAGAACTGTTAAAACTTAATAGTAAGAAAACAAACATCCCATTTTAAAAATGAGTAAAAGATCTGAACTTCATCAATAAAAGAAAAAGATGTATAGATGACCAATAAGTATATGGAGTATTTTTAACATCCTTGGTTAAGAGAGATGCAAAATTAAAATCACAGAAAGATACCTATTAAAATGGATCTATATGTGTATTTAAATCTGACAATATCAAATGCTGGCAAGCATGCAGAATCACAACGACTCTCCTTCATTGCCAATGGAAACTACAAATGACACTGCCGCTTTGGAAAACTGTATGCTAGTTTTATTTATAAAATTAAACATATACTTACCATATGATACAGCTCTAAGAGTCCCACTTAGGTTTTTACTGAAGTGAATCTAAAATTTTACACAAAACCCTATATGTGAATATTTATAGCATCTTTTTATCTTTAATTACACAAATGTTCTTCAAATGGTGAATGCATGAACTAACTGTAGCATATCTATGTGTGATGGAATACTATTCAACTGTAAAAAAGAAACAATTATTGATTCATGCAACATCGTGAGTGCTTTCTTTTTAGTGTCCTTGATTTTATTGTTTATTTAAAAAAAATAGAAGTACATCTTTTACTGATACAGGTTAGAGAATGTTTCTAGGATAATGAACTAGACACTGAAGCTTAATTCTCTGTAGAATTTCAGTAGCACTTGAAAATTGACTTTTTCAAATCAAGGATATCTTTCGTGTTCTTTTGGAAAAATAACTTAGTAACAAAAGGAAGGTCATTAAACTACACGCATGCTCCTGAATTCATGTCTTCTTTTCACTTGTGACTGAAAGCATGAGACAGCAGTTCACGACAAGCAGAGCTAAGTATATACACCAACCAGGACTTGGGTCAGCTCAGAATGGTGGCGCAGCCTCAGCACCCACACCTCAGAGCCCTTTCCAGAAGGTCCAGTCTGTCTCTGTCCTTCTGCAACACACCAACAAGGAGGCTGGGGATTAAGAGACAACATTTCCCATGTCAACTACCTGGGGCCACAGGTGATGGCCTCAGTCATTGGCTAATGGGACTGCTTGCCTATATTTCTCAAACTAACTTAAAAAAAAACACCACCAAAAACCTAGTGTGAAGAAGGGAAGATAGGTAACAGCTCCTGCACAGACACCAATGGCTTCACTTCTGTGAATTTCCTAAAGCAACATCTTGACTGCACCCTAGGCTGATGGCAGCGATGGTGAGGACAGATTTGAAGGTGGCTTCCCAAATTCCAGGTGTTCTCCAGACCTTCAGACAGAGCAAACCAAATTAAGTGGACTTTACAGCGGTTACAGATTGACTATCATCGGGCCCACAGTTATAAGAGGGAATATCTAGAGTCAGAAGCAGTGTCACTGTGTCTCAATTTTCTCTCCCTCTATCACCCAGAGGAATGCAGGTGCTGCTTGGCCTTCTGTCACCGCCATCTCTGTACTTGCTCCCCAACCCTGACGGGGGACCACTTGTTTGGTTTGGGGACTGCTCGTTCAAGAAATTCCGGCAGGATGCAAGTTTAGGCTCCAGTGCCCCTACTTTCCGCAGTGGGTCTCCCACAATGTTGAGGGCTGATATCTGGGCTGCAGACATGAGGCGGTTCCACCCATGGAGTCATCCATTCGATGTCTGAATGTCCCTGGTGTGGTTAATCTAGAGCTGGGCTCCCGATGAGCCATGGGAGTGGATGGCAAGGAGCCAGTGGCCCACACGGCTGTCTGTCCTTTCGGCTTCCACCAAGCTGGGCATGGGGGTTCTGGGTTGCTCCTGCTTTTGCTGCACAGCCAATTCCTGCCCCAAATCTCTGGCTTTATCCTTCAGCCACTAAACAGCTTCTAGGAGATTCCCCTTCTCATCAAGTTTACTCTCCAAGAAGGCATTTCTTTCAATGGCTTGATTCAAGCACTGCTCAGAGACTTCCAGAGACATAATTGTGGTCTGTTTCACTCCTTCCAAGTCATCATTTGCTTGCTCCAGCTGTCAGGTATATTTATGCAGCTGATCTTTAATTGCCTTTGTCTGGGCTGGGTCATCCTCAAAGGTGGAGATCTGGGGG